AAAATACTGCCTGAACTACACTTTTCCCACCACAATAAGGCTTGCACTAGAATATTTGCTATTATCCAATAATCCAATACTTGTCAAACCTACAGTACCATCAAATAATAATAGAGTCGGCCGATACCGACATATTTGTTATGTCTCTCTACTTTATTACAAAGATTATCCATTCAGGAATTATGGCTACACAAATTTGGCACATAATACCTGTGCACCACAACATAAAAGAATTATCCACGGATAAATCTTGTTCAAATGGATTTGAGTAACGATATAGATGAATTAAAGGCACTTCTAGATTACTCCACTACAATAATTTAATGAGTTTCGAAAACGCAGCTAGATATTTTTTCAAAATTTTGTGTGGTAAGGGTAGGCCATCATTTACAGATTTTAAAATAAACAATATGTCATGCGCACATCTATTTCATACCTGTAAATCTGATATAAGGAATTTGCCACCCACAGAGGATGCATTTCATCAGCAAAATCAGCAAGTGCCTAATATTAAGAAAGAACTGCCTATGAAATAATTGTGTGGAAGAGTGCGATTTTAATAAATCCAGAAATTCACAACCCACTTAATTTTGGTTGGAATCTGAAATATATTAAAATTAACCACAATAAGTAACCATACTGATGTAAGATTCAAAAAGGGTGCTGCAAATGCAAACTCCAGATATGCACTAGAAACAGAAACTAAACTGTAGTTGTTTAAAAGCAAGGCTGAATGGTATAAGAGGTTGGTATTCTGGAGGCGGGTTTTATTCAAATTAAAATTAAGTAAGTTTTAGTTACCTAATTAGGTTTTATAAAAATGTCTGTCCTTATACCTTATAGATTAAATAAGTACTGTCGAAGTTAGGCTGCGCTGGGGCCAGGGTACGGGCAAGGCGTCCGTTGAGATCAATGCGGCAGCGGCCGGCGCGCATCGTCGTTTCAAAAAAAAATCAAATCTCGGAAACCGTTATCGCTAGTCAAAATCTCTTTTCACCAAAAACTTCCTCACTCATTTAGGCACATTTTCCGTCGATTGATCACATATCTATCTTCAACCGTTCAAAAATTTTCTCGATGCTGAAATTTTCACTTCAGTTTTGGTACCGCACCTCCTTTTACGTAATCTGACAAATTCGGTAAAAAAAAAAATAGTTTTTTGCATATACAGTTGAACTCTACAATGACTAGGCTTTCATTTCGTGCAAGAATTTTGGAAAAATATTGAAAAATAGCTTCACAATCGTGAGTTAAACACAAAAAATAGTATTTTCCGGATAATTCAAAAAAGTCGGAAAATATTTTTTTATTCTTAATTGCAATTACGAATTAAATGGAGCCCTCCGGATTTGCATCCGCAAGGTCATTCTCCATATTGTACATATTTTTTAAAAAGAATATCCTCGAGTGCACAGTACGTGATCGAATTTCGGTGTGCTGATTCCCGACTAGTAGTTGATAAAAATGGAGGTACTACCAAATATCAAATTTTTTTGTAAGGAGTTAGTTTTTACTAGGCTAGATAGAAAAGGATTTTTTATTTTTTAGTTGGGGTCCAAACAATGACATTGGGTCCAACATTGAACTTGGTGGACATAACATTACATACGCCACTGATCACTTTTGTTGGTTACAGTTTTTGTCAGATTTTGATACAATACGAGGTGCGTTTTTAAAGTGTGTGCCAATTAGGCAATCTCAATCACGTGATTTTATAATGGCCGTTCGGGTCAAATATTGCCGTGACAAGGGTGACAAGCTGGTGACGTTCATAAGGAGAGCATTATTTGTGCACATTCGTGTTCTATCCCTTGTTGCTTTCGAAGTGAATTTTATAGTCTTTGGTGTTTCTACGTATTTTTTATTGGTTTTGGCCATTGTTGTTTTCATAGTGAATTGCATAGTCTTTAGTATTTCAACGTATTTTTTAGTGTTCTGGCCCTTGTTGTGTGATATTTATAGTGTTTATAGTGTTTCTACGTATTTGTCAATTTATTAATAAATTCTGAGATGGAGAGTGAATATTTTAAGGTATTATTATTAAGGGAAAATCGAGCCTCTGTTAGATCCTTTCTATTAATTGCAGCAATAATCCATAAAGCCCTGCGTTGCCAATGATTTAAAATAGCAGGAACTGAATAAAATTTTACATTTTTCCTGTTACCTCGACTTCCACACCCAATTACGATGCAAACCGCTGGCATTTTAATTAATACAATACCTAAACACACAAAAAAAATACAAAATCCGATAATTCAAATCTGGACGTTTGTCCAGAATGTGACAGAATCAATGACATACAATAAACAACACAGTGCTTGACCCGAACTTCCATATTGAATTTCGTTTTTGACAGGTCAGTAGATTGCTTAATTCCAATGACCGCGACTGTACATACATTGATAGTAGCGATTGTGCACCTTTTTTTGTTCTTATTAATTTAACTTTCAAAAAAGTAGCTTAAATAGTAGCTTTCACTAATTCAATATGTAGTTAAGTAACCAATAGCTTAGCTACTTTTTTGAAGAGGTAGTTAAGCTACTAGTAACTTAACTACTTACAATATAAAGTAGCTTGTAACTTGTAGCTACATACTTTTTCCAAGTAGCTTGCCCAGCTCTGTTTGATACAATATAAATTTAATGCAATGCAAACTTTCAAAAAAATTACTCAAATTTCAAATTTTCTGTTGTCTACATTGTCTACATAGTTTACATAGTCTACATGGAAAAAAGTGGATGTAAACAATACGTAAACAACGAGTAGACAAACCGCGTAAAGTAGATTTCATAGTCTAGTCTACAGCACATCCCTGATTTGAACCAATCAGATTGGAATTATGGATAATTGCATAAGACGATTTCGCCACGTTTTGGTTGGTAGGTAAATTGGTTAACCGATAGGTAGGCTCTTCGTCACAACAGTGACGTCGCATACCATTTTCAGCCGAAATCAGCCGATTTGTCAAATGTCACGTGTATGACGTAATGGTGATGGTATGCCTGAGAAAATAAAAATAAACGTACTACTGAATACTTTTTATGTTGGAAATTAAAATTGGGATTATTGGGAATAGTAAAAATTAATTGCGTTTAGTTTTTGTGTTTAATTTCAAATATAAACAAACAGTAAGGTTAATTTACTCCAAATTAGAGAGAGATAGCAAGCTACCAATTCAAATAACCGTGCACCGTGCTCCAAGCTCGGTACCGAATTTGACATACCAAAATAAATACCAAAGTTATAGTGACATCATTGTTTTTCTTGCCGAAATTGGTTGGTATATTTTTGACCATCCAAAGTGGGTTACCAAAACGTGGCGAAATCGTCTATAGTAACTGGTGCAAAAACTGGTGTTTTGACATTTTTTGACAAAAAGTTTAAATTTTTGATTTATGAAATTTTCTCATTAAATACAACTCGTACCATGAAAATATATTTGTAATTTTCGACAAATTTGCACTCATGCGTTCAACTAAAAATGCGTTCGGGCAAATTTCCCAAAAATTATCGGTAATTTTCATTGCACTCGTTATATTACTATTGATAGTTTTCATTTGATTGTGAAATAAATCTGATTTAGGTACGCCTTTGAATGACTACTCGCCGTTGTTATGACAACCGTGATAAACGTGCCAATATTACCAATGCGCAACTTGCCGTGAGCACGTGTGTGTACCATTTTTGAGTTGGGTAGACGCTAGAGTTCTGTTAATCCTCCTGGAGCGAAAAGATGACCAGTGCCCAGTTTTGTAACTTCAAATGAAAGATCATGTGAGCTTCTGTCAACAATGTCATCTTTTAACTCGCAAATGATTAACCGAACTGGCCTTCAAGATTTATAGGGGCTCGTAGGCTCTATATTGTACATTTTTCTTAAGCCTGTTGTGAAATACGAGACCGTTTCTATACATTTTAACAAAAAAGGTGTGTAGCCATGTTTCAAAAACCAATTAAAATGGACATTTGGCATTTAAGGGATTTCGTAATGTTGGGCGCTAAATTAATTACAACAAAAATAAACAGGGATTTTCATTTGAAAAACTTAAGTTACATACGGCATCTTAGAAACGGTAAACTTGGCAACATTGCAACTACCACCAATGAATCAGACATTCCCAAAAACCCATAGGCTTGGCTTGGTGTCCGTTGGTATGCTGATGATCGATTAATATAATAAGAACAGCAATAACTGATCTATTGAACTGCCTTGGGGAACGGCATAATTTGTTTCGGTGTTGATTGCTCCCAATTTTTGTTATTTGTTTTTTATTATTCAAATAATACACCAATCAATCAAACGCAACATTTCAAATTCCATAATTTTGCACCTTTTTGCAATCACATTTTTTCCAGTTGCGCTTCCTTTGCTACTATTCCCGATGCCGTGAATACCACCATCTGTATTGAATTTATAGGTATACTAGCGGCCCGCTCCGTCTTCGCACGGGTATAAAATATATAGCCTATGTCACTCACTGAAAAAATTATTAAAATCGATCCATTAGTTTTGTATTTAAGGTATTTGATTGGATAAGGATGCTGTATTGGTTAAAATCGCTTCCTGCGTTTGCAATGTAAGCGGAAGAAATGTAATTATTTACGACATCACATTGGAAACCTCAAAAATAACAGTATTTCTCCACTATTTAATGGATGTTATTATACATATAAACCTTCCTCTTCAATCACTCTATCTATTAAAAAAAAAACGCATCAAAATCCGTTGCGTAGTTTTAAAGATTTAAGCATACATAGGGATATAGGGACAGAGAAAGCGACTTTGTTTTATACTATGTAGTGATTTACTGTTTGTCAACACTTTCAAAGATTAGAATCTTTCGAGAAAAGTATCTCTCTTCCGCCACTCATGTTAGGGGTCAAGTTAAAAGTGATAGAATTAAAAATGTTTGGAGATAAGAAAGAATTATAAAAATCTTTAAAACGTAACTGCTCATTCAGTAACAAATTATCGGCAGGCGATAAAAAAAAAATACAAAATGAAGTGCTGCGCTTGTTTGACTGTATTTTTGCTAACAGCTTTCGGATTTGAATTTTCTATAGCTGACTGCGATGTAGCTAGTGAAACGGTAGCCAGTGGCACCTATTTCCAAGCAAGCACGAAATTGTGTCCAGGTGATTTGATTTTTGAAGATAACTTTGATACCTTTAATTTGGAAAAGTGGCAACATGAATCCACTTTATCTGGAGGTGGAAATTGGGAATTTCAGTGGTACCTGAATAACAGAACCAACAGCTATGTAGACAATTCAAACTTACATATACGTCCAACTTTCGTATCCACTGACTATGGAGAAGATTTTTTAAATTCCGGAACTTTAGACTTAAACGGTGCAATTCCTACAGATCAATGCACTGACCCAGCCAATTGGGGCTGCAGCCGTACTGGAACAGCAGATCATATTTTGAACCCAATAAAAAGCGCTAGAATCACGAGTGTTCATTCATTTCAGTTCAAATATGGATCAGTTGTAGTTAGAGCAAAAATGCCAGCAGGTGATTGGTTATGGCCGGCTATTTGGTTGATGCCCCGTTTTAATGCTTACGGTGGTTGGCCAACATCTGGAGAAATTGACTTGTTAGAGTCCCGAGGTAATAAGAACATTTTCAATTCAGCTGGTATTAACGTAGGAACTCAACAAGCAAGTAGTACTTTGCATTGGGGACCTTTTGTAGCAGCCAATCAATATGCTAAAACTCATTTTGAGAAAAATAACCCTGTTGGATACGACAGTGCTTTCCATATTTACAAATTAGTTTGGACTTCCCATGAAATATTATTTTACATCGATAACGAATTGATTGGTTCCATAAATCCTCCTGCAGGAGGATTTTGGGAAATGAGCGAATTAGCTAGCAGCGGAATATCAAATCCTTGGGCAGCTGGTAATAAAATGGCACCATTCGATCAGAAATTTTATTTGATTATAAATCTGGCTGTCGGAGGAACCAACTTCTTTTCGGACGATTTCACTAATCAAGGAGGTAAACCATGGTCTAATAAATCTCCTACCGCTTTTACAGACTTTTGGCATGGTAAAAGCCAATGGGAATCTACATGGAATATGGATAGCGATGATACGCATCTAGTTGTCGATTATGTACAAGTTTATGCTGTTTGAGTGTTGGTTATGTTGGTAGATAATGTTTTGCAAATAATTTTGTAAATATTTTTATTAGATAGAAATAAAATCTTGAATGTGTATTAGAATAATACTTTTGTTTTGTGGTTTTTAGCACAAAGGCCACAAAGTACATAATGTACTTACTTGCCTTGGTTCTTGTTTCTGCATTTTCTAAAAATATTTAAGTGTAACGTTGCCAGTTTTACTTGAAAGCCATGGCAACATTGGAAAGTTATACCAAATTTTCAGGAACACAAATCTCGTCGTTTTTATCTTCAATTGCATAACTCCTCTTATTTGCGTATTAACACTCCACTGCCTATACATTTTTAAGTTTTGTTTAAGAAAATAGAATTAGGCACAGATTATATTTAGGGCTTAAGCAAGAGTGAGTGTCTGAAAATTATTAGGGGTCGCCAAATTTTTGACAATTTTCAAGATCCTGTCTTGATTTCAAGACAAGATCAAGACAAGAAGTAATTTGAGATTCCAAGAAAGGACAAGAACTTTTATGTCAAAACCAAGATTTCTTGTCAAGAAAACAAGAAATCTTGAAATATCTTGACTAACAATGAAAATGCAAAAACGTATTTATTTGTGAAAAAGATAACATATTCTAACATAAATAATATAAACATATTTTGGAATAGTGGAGGTTTTCTTGGGAGTCAGTCAGGTTGAAAAATGAAACAATTTTTTTTTTTTTTAGTTTCATTTTTCAACCTGACTGACTCCCAAGAAAACCTCCACTATTTCAAAAAAACAGTCAAGAAACCGCATCAAAAAATAAACATATTTTAATTTATTGAACTGAACATATTTTTCGCTAGAACGATTCACAAAAATGTAAATCAAAAATTAATGATAATAGTCTCCTTGCATCAAATTTTTTTATTGCTGGTTTCGATAGTCCTTGAAAAATAAGTCAACACGTGTTTTTTTCTTTTTCTTCGTAGTCAAAAATTGACGGAGATACAACGCTATGAAATCTGCCTATGACGTCACTTATCATATAAATTAGTGACGTTGCACATGCTCAGTATATCTATACATACAAAACTTAATATTTGTATAACTTCCGGAATAATCATATTTGGGCGGAATAAAAAAAAAAGTAAGGATTTTTTTTCGATTTTCTGCAGTTTGCAATAAACAATAATCAATTTAATTTTCCATGCAAGTACCCTATTCTGTTGAAATTAAAATTGCAAACTAAATAGAATTTAAATATCCAATTTACCATATTTTTAACTCGGAATTCATGAGCATTAAGGCACATCATTATGCAGTGCAGAATATAGGTAGGTACTATTTAAAATGCAACAGGCTAAATATCTGATGTCACTTTTATAAATGGAACAAGGGGTCGAGTGATACCTGTTTCAAGAGAGCGTTCAATTTTCTTTCAAATGAAATTCAACGCTCTTTTAAAAGAGGTATCACTCGAGTCACTCGACCCTTTGTTCCATTTGAAATATTAAGGGTTGGTCGCACCCCGCCTAGAGGAGAGGGTTGAAGTTGCAGGATGCTTCCCCCTTTGAAAATCAAATTACGTGTACCAGCGAATTTTGAAAATAAACGTCGCAACAAATATTGATCCTGTTTCGTTTTAAATGGTACACCCTGTATATATTTACTAAAACCGCAACGCTTACGTTTCTGTCTATTGCTTGTGGGTGAATATTCTGAGCCAGAATCGGAGTCAAATGGCTCAGCAGACGTACTGTTTACTGAAGAGTCACTGTCACTCATGGTAAAATAAGTGATATTATCAATAGTAATATAACTAGTGCAATGGAAATTATTGATAATTTTTGGGAAATTTGCCCGAATGCATTTTCAGTTGAAAAAGAGCACGAGTGCACGTAGTGCACGAGTGCCTTTTTCAGTTAAAAACGCATGAGTGCAAATTTGTCGAAAATTATAAATATATTTCCATTGCACGAGTTGTATTTAATGAGAGAATTTCATACATCTGTCAAAACTGGTATTCCAACAATAAATTGACATGTTTTGATTGTTGATTTGAACGAATCAGATTGTAATTATGCGATAATTTGCACTAGTGCAAATTATCAGATAATTGCATACTAACTGGTGCGAAAACTGGTGTTTTGACATTTTATGACAAAAAATTTAAATTTTTGATTTATGAAATTCTCTCATTAAATACAACTCGTGCAATGGAAATATAATTATAATTTTTGACAAATTTGCACTCATGCGTTTTTAACTGAAAATGCATTCGGTCAAATTTCCCAAAAATTATCAATAATTTCCATTGCACTAGTTATATTACTATTGAGAATTTCATAAATCAAAAATTTAAATTTTTTGTCAAAAAATGTCAAAACACCAGTTTTCACACCAGTTAGTATGCAATTATCTGATAATTTGCACTAGTGCAAATTATCGCGTAATTACAATCTGATTGGTTCAAATCAACAATCAAAACATGTCAATTTATTGTTGGAATACCAGTTTTGACAGATGTATGAAATTCTCAATAGTAATATAACAAGTGCAATTGAAATTATCAATAATTTTCGGGAAATTTGCGGCATTTTTAGTTGAAAAAGAGCACGCCGAGTGCACGCATGAGTGCAAATTTGTCGAAAATTAAAGATATACGTTCAACTATAAATTCTTATCAAAATTTGTTGAAATGGCCACATCGCCGCTTGTCCCCACCAGTCCCAAATAAAAAGACCCAAAAATTTCGCGATCGCGGCGCTTTGTCGAAGCCGAGTATGGCCGAGCTGCCGAAGATGCACGAATTATATTGAATGCAGGGTCGAGATTTGTGCTACTGTGCATTTGTGCTAATCCGCAAGGGATCACCCCATTTGTGCTAATGTTCATTTGCTCTACCCACCCGAAGTCGCCTTCGGGCGGGAACGTCGGACGAGCCGAAGTCCGACCGGAGTATGACCCTCATCGAAACGAATGCAGTTATTGTAGCGCAAATGAGTACAGCGTTGCCGTTCCCTCTCCATCTGGCGGGTATTTAAAATAGAAAATAGAATTCTATTTCGATATTATTCAAGTATTGAGTCGGTGTGGTGTTTTGTTTACTTCAAAAATGGAAAATTTCAACTTTTACTTTTAATATTTTATTGGTTAAATATTAATTTACTTTAACCTTCCATCGCGAGTTTTATAACATCATTAGCCACGCTGTATCACAGAGATACATAGGTATACTAAATCATTGATAAAAAAATTGAACCATCTGATGAATTTCGGTTTTACAATTTCTATGTATTGATTTGGGTACTCAACAATCAAAGATAGAATATTTTCACTGAGAAAGAGATTCCAGAAGTTGAATTCTATTTTCGCAGCCGTTGCAGTTTCGCCCACAACGCCCGGCAGCTTTAGCATAATATAGGTACAAAGCCGAGCGCACCTGGAGTTTTTTGGATATTCCAAATTTCCAGGTAGAAGTACGACCATGTAATTTTGGAAAAGTAATGAGTATAGGGTGCCTGAGGATTACTACAAGCCATAATATTATAGGGTTTTTCCTTTTTGATTTATTTGCAAAAATCATAGGCATGTATCTCTCAGATACACGCACGACTAATGGATGGTTAAAAATGGCAAATATTAGTTACATGCATAGGTAGGTACATAGCAAAATGTACATGCATGAAAGAAACACAATCGTATGTGAAAACTAGTTAGTTCACATGTTGTTTTTTGATTGATATCCCAAACTTTTAACCTTTTTTTTGCTAGCTAGGTGGCTGTGGTTAGGTCTATCTTACTTGAGATAATGGACTCTTTCCTTGAATATCAGAGTTCTTTTCATAGATATATTCATCTTCATGTAGATTCTAGCAATATAAAATATAATAATAAAGCTCTTCTTGATGGGTATTTCTTTTTCACCTTTTATTATTAAATAAGAACATGAAAAATATTTAATTTCAATTGGCATTTTTATACATTTGTTACAACATGGATTCAACAATAATGATTAATTACAATAGGTAATTTTTAACAATAAATAATAAGTAGTAGGTATATGTTTTACTTGATAGTCATTAAGTATACTTCTAATTGTTTTAACTATCAAACTTCATTGAGTGTTTCACTGTTTCGAAACCATGATTAGTTGTTAAATGCCTTCTCAACTCCTGGGTTTGTTTTAAATGACACTTGGAAATCCTCCATACATTTGAACAGAGCATCGTCAAAGGCATATTCCGGAACTGTAAAAGAAGGGATTACTCTTTCTCCAGAGAAGCTGAGAAGCAATTGTTTCTCAGACTCTAATTAAATAAACTTCAACTAATATAAAATACTATTTGTGACTTCTTCCAATAAGTAATATCCTCACCATTTTTGCAATTATTACTGTTTTTCAAGTGTCTGTTGAGGTTGTATTTTGTAGAAAAAACCTTAGCACAAAATTCACAGGTAGCACTATTACTTGGTCCATTTTCCATTATTTCCTAATTCCCAAATCACAATATTAAAATAACTATTATATAGCTAATCAACTCTAGAACACCACCACACGAACTATCGATAATATTTGATAGGATAATAATGTTATTGAGATAAAAAAAACCTACAGGTCGCAGAAACAGAGAACAGTAATATCCTTAAAATTTGAAATACCCAAAAATATTCGCGCCAACTACTTTCAAATTCAAATACAACAAACAAAAAACATAACCTAAGTTCGCGAAGGCAAGGGATTAGTTGTATTCCTTCCACACCTAGGGGGAGCTCCGGAACAGCTCCGGGGCTTTACGCGCTTATTTCTTTAGAAAAGTGTTTGTTGCGCCTGAACCTGAAGCGCCCAAGCTCGAATTAAACCATTTAAATGCGCGAAAGACAGCGCATCTGTTCCTTTCAAATCGGGGTCGACCAACTCCGAGCGAGTAGCTCTAGTGTTTTAAACTCTTGAAAGGAATACTACTGAGAGTAGGTTGTCTAATAACAAGGTTAAAAAGCAACGCGTGATCACTGGGTAGGCAATTTTT